TCTGCTTTCAGTCACACCACCCACGAGTCAAGGTTTATTAGTTGATGGGTGTCCGCCCCCTTTTTATTAAACCACACCCAATGCGCATTATGGTCCGCCCCTGTCGATTTATGAATCCACAGCGCCTTAAGGCCCTGACCCTTGAACTTGATTACGTATTAGCGTTCATTTTATTGAAACCACACCAACGGCGTGTTATAGACACGACCCTTTACAATGTTCATAGAGTGTGCCACCATATGGTTGTATGAGGTACTACATCCTATGGTTGGATGTTTAATTTATTTATTTTGAATTTCATTTAGTGGAGGGATATTACCGAATAAAGAAGACAAGTCTGGACATGTTTTTGGAAGATGTGTCTGGGGCCAGTTTTGAAAGTATAGAACAAACCCAGAGGACAAGTTTATATACATATGAGAAATAAATAAATGGTAAAAAGTAACTCTTATAATGATATTTATTAGACAAAAAAAAAGCCAATACAATATATGTAGGAAAAGCAACAATACAATATTCACAGGCAAAAGCTGTAATACAATATATGTAGGAAAAGCAATAATCACCAAATGTTTTAGACAGAAAAGCAATGAATAAACATCACAAATTCAACCAATCAGCAGACTGCTTTAGTATACGTGGGCGCTTCTTAGGTAGCAAATAACAGTGAGATGTAGTTAATCCTGGGATGCTAAAAGAAATATTTGGTAATGATTGTCTTTTTTGAAAATGGGGTGTTATGTCCCGAGTCTCACTTGGAAGGCTCTGCAATTTCAATTGTTCCAAATTGTCTCTATTTGATGTGTTGCCCACAACTGTAGATGGTATGTTCAGGTCAGCCATAGCCTGAAGAAAAGTATCCCAGCCCAGAGGTAATTTACGTACCGTACCATTGTGACTCTGGGTAACACTATGTACCAAATCGAGTATATTAGATCCTGGTACAACAGTGTTTTTATAAACAAATTCACCCTTATCATTCCAAGCTGTAATGTGCTTAAATTGAGACATTCTACTCAACAACAATTCAGCATTTTTTTTTTATAGCGGACATTTACATTTACATTATAGCCTCTGATGTTTCAGCGTCTGAAACATCAGAGGCTTCAGCGGCATGAGGATGTGGTTCAGAGGGTTTTGGTACAGAAGATTCTCCGGGTGGTAAGAAAAGAGTCAATCCCATCTTTTCACTTTCACTCTGTTTAGCACGTACCAAGTATTTCTGCAATATAGTGGTATACCTCTTTATCTTCTCATCATCCGATACACTTCTATTTTGAAGAATGGACATAATCTCATTATCTAGGTTCTGAGTGACAGATTCACGAGCGGTCTCAGCGTTCTGAGTGGTTTGCTGTATTAGGTCTAACTTTTGTTTAGACACTAAATACTTTTTCTCAGCGTGTGTCATTAACGGTTAGTCAAAAGACCAGTCAGCAGAGGGATAGCAAACCCCAACAGAGAGCCAATAAACCCTCCAGACTTTTTAACCAACTGCTTCTTCTTACTAAAAGACATTATTTTTTTGTTGCTCAGTGCTTTTATATTTTTTCTCCACTTTTTTAGTTTTTCTACTTGGTGTTGTGATAAAGGTATCTTACCTTTAAGGGCATTAAGAGCTATTTCACATATAGCAGTGACTAAATCATGAGACGCAGAGCATAAAATATGCTTTTTCTGTGAGGGCGATGCACTTATTAGACTTTGTAAAGCCAACCAATTACGATGTATACGCATAGACATCCTTACAGCTTCTGAAACTTGGCATGGAATGACCTGTTAATGGTATACTATCGACTTTTATTTGTTATAAATATATGCCGAGGGTTGGTCGGGTGGGAAGAGACCAGTTCTTAAGCGGTACTCTTCGAGGGTTGTAGATCTTAAATCTACAAGTAGATAACCATAAGATTTGCGTGTGGCATCTTCAAAAGCGTCTAGAAACAATTGTGATTTACCGGGGTACATTTGGCGGGCCAGAGTAGTGATTTGCAGTTTATCTCTTGGGTTCTTAAAAAGTACCATATATTTAGTGTTTAAAGCTATAGTACAACTTTTTTTACCTTGACAGAACACATTCTGCACCATATACATAATATTCAGATTTCTGTGATGCACATACTTGGTTCTCAATTTCTGAACTCTCACTAGCAGCCTCCATTAAGTCATCAACAATAGTCAAATTTACTCTGTTAGGAGGGAACAAATTATCATCATTAAATGTTGTGGGTAAACCCTCTATAAAATGAATATTTGGGGTTGTGAGTAATAATTGATCATAAAGAACTTGCGAGCAGGCATAAAACCAAACAATGTTATCAGGAGTGTGCCACATTAATGTGGTAGCATTCTGTAAAACCTGTTTGACAAAATAACTTTTCCCTGAATTATTAGGGCCTGACAATATGCATGAAAAAGGATGTTGTAAACAGGTGTCCTAGGTGAATGTGAATAGGAGATTGGTAAAGTCGTCGACCAAATATCTTTTTGGATATACACACTTTTGTGTTTTCTGTAGCGGTCGCGTCTCTATCTGCCAAAGGAGTTTATTTCTGACAATGGAGGTCTGTCGTACCACTATTCTTTTCTGTTCATCAGGGTCTGAGTGCAAGGGGTAGTCCAACACCAGGTCTATTAAACTGTCAAAGTTAATCAACTCTGCATTGCTGGCATGAAGCGTTATGCCTTTCACCTTTAGAGATGTTTTATCTGTCGATAGTTTGTAACGATAAGTCTTGGGACCTGCAGATACAAACTCTGTAATATGTGTGTCACAGGGTATTTCACTAGTCAGTTCGCCTAGGTAGTCCCCTAGAGGTGGATTCCAGTCACCCACTGTACTAACAAAAATAACAGAGTCAGTGTCGTGGTAGAGACATCTCTCATTAAGACGGTCTAAAATATTATACAGTTCAAGTCGTGCATATGCGGTGGTAAAACATGCAATAAAGATATTGGTATTGCGAGATGGACTGTGACCACCCTGGGTGTGCTTCCAGCTGAGCATGTCTGTTTCATTATTTATGAATGACAAAGAAAACACATCATATTCAGGTAAAAATATGTAACCAAAAAGCTTGTCCGGATCAGATACAAGGCTTGTGGTTTGCAAATTAGGTTTTTGCCCAAATTTGCCCCATAAAGAATTAAGAAATAATTTAGAAATCTGTCTTTTTGCAGGGTTTGCTTCTATTTTCTCTGGTCTTAACAAAATACCATCTTTAGCGTAATAAGCATCAATGTATTGGCGTCTTTTTTCATCAGTCTTACACCATTCAGGGTAACCTGAGGCCTCCTGCTTATCCCTAAGGTGCACTTTTATAAAATTTTCAAATAATGTGTTGGAAGAGTTAGGAAAATGCTAAATCTCAAAAATTTTAATGGGTGGGGTCATATTGCTCAAGGTGCGTGGTTTCACGAAAGGGGCTGGGCAACCATCACCGCTCAGGGGGGCGGAGACATATTGCGCAACAGACGTGGTTTCATAAAAAGGGCATGGCTTCATAAAAAGGGGCAGGGCACCTGTCATATTGCGCAAGGGGCATGGTTTCATTAAAATGGGTGTGGTTTCATTAAAAAGGGGCGGGGCACCTGTCAAACATTAGTTTGATGAATTGCACCGCTACTCACTACTATTTGTCCCTAGATGGACAAGAACATCCAATTTCCCTTCCTGCTTTGCTCGCTTAACAATATTAGAAATACATCTCCTGTCGCTCTGAGTAGTAGCTCCAGGAAGACCTCTCACAAGGCCACTATTGTCCAGCTCCACACCTCTTATGATAGAATCCCCCAACAACAACTGCTTTTTATCAGGCCTCACCTTATCCTTTTTGTCATTGGCTGCAGTTTTGCACAACTTTGACATAGAGAACGGTGGTTCCACAAAATCGGTGCCTGAGCCTGTCTCCAAAATACCACTACACTCGGTCCCTGAGCCTGTCTTCATAATACCACTGCACTCCGAAAGGGCAGAAAATGAATTATCTAGAGCAACAGACTGTCCAATATGCCTTTTATCCACAACTCTAAGTCTACCAGATCCTACAGTAATCCATCTGCCATTCCTAGGTTGTCTCTGCAGCAGTGGCTTTGCAACACTTCCAGCCTGAGTTTATTTAACGGATAATTTACAAATCTCAGATTTCAAAAATACAATCTCCTGCCACAGTATAGAGAACTGTCTACAGATTAGACAGCATCCAAATCTCCAAAAAGTGGCACATGAAACAAATGCAATACACCCCAGGGCCATAGTCACGAGGAAGGAGGCTGGCAATCAGGCTCCTCCAAAAGCCGGGGGCAAAGGGCAGCTTGTCACCTAACAATCCAGGGACAAAAGGCATTTTGTCACACATCTCCCCTTTGGGGGGGAGACTAACCAGGTACCTGACCTTGTATTAGGCGCTCGCATTCGCGCGAATTAGCCGAACACCCGCACCACCTATTGGTGCTCACGTTCGGCTGGTTCATGCGCATGAACGCCCGGCGTTCGTTTCACTCATTTTGTCGCCCTAACATATAGGGGAGGTACTAAAACCTCCCATTTTTTACTGCCTTCAGTCCGGCGGCCATTTTAAATGGCTACTACTGTCCTTTGCAGACTCCAGTCTATTACTACTGCCAGATACCCTGGAATACACTCCTGAACTCTGCATCCTTATCAGCTCACTGTGGGACCAGTATCAGGTTAGTGCTTTGCACTTGGGGTCGGTTTCAGCCAGTTGGATTTTCTTTACTCTGGCAGGGGTGAGCCCCCATTCATGTGCTGCTGAACGGACCTGTCCATGCAGGATTCCGAATTCCTGGGTGAGCCCCAGTGACAGCCCTCATCACCTCACTTGACCTACCAGTCACATAACTCTCTCAGGTTAACCATTACCTACTTCTATACCACCCCTTGTCCCCAGGCCTCTCCATTTTTTTGTGCCACAAGTGCCACGGGTGAGCCCCGAGTGTGAAAAATTGAAGAATCTCAAAACCCCTCAGATCTCCAGGCCATGATTGCAGCAGCTGTAGCTGCGTCCATGGAAAAGGCTTTGGCTAAGTCGTTCCAATTTGAACAAGATGCATCCAAGCCCATTCCGAGGACTATGATTCCTCCAGGGAACGCTCCCACCCCCCTAAACGCCATTGGAAAGGCGAGGCTATGGGACCACAACCTTTCTACACGGATTCATCTGCCCGCCATTGATTCCATCAGTTTAGGGGATCGGACCGTGGCGAAATTCTCCAACGGTAAGTCACCATTCTATACTACCCCTAACCTCTTGCCATATCGCAGGTCGTGTTTCTCTTTTTTTCCAGAATTGGGCAGACCTATCCTCCGACACATGGATACTTCAGACGGTGCGGGGCTATCAAATAGAATTCGAGACGATGCCACTCAAACAGACCCCACCACGCCCGATTCAATTTTCACAGGCGGACGCTTGTGTGATAGATTCAGAACTTCAGGACATTCCAAAGGTGCCATCCAACCAGCTCCGGATTCAACCGGGTTCTACAGCAATATCTTCCTGGTCAGGAAGAAAACTGGGGAATTCCGACCCGTCATCAACCTCAAGGAGCTCAATTCCTACGTGGTGTACCACCACTTCAAAATGGAGGGTATCCACCTTCTGCGGGACCTACTGCGAGACAACGACTGGTTCACGCGTCTAGACCTAAAGGACGCATACCTCACAATCCCCGTACACGAAAGGAGCCACTCATATCTCAGTTTCTACTGGCACGGGACACCTTGGCAATTCACCTGTCTCCCGTTTGGTCTCAGTTCGGCCCCATGGTATTTCACCAAAATGATGAAACCGGTAATGGTGAGACTGAGGCCCAGGGCATAAGATGCATTGTCTACCTCAACGACATCTTGATATTCGACGAGGATGCAAGGACCCTAAAGAGGCACACAGACTACACTGTACACCTACTCGACTCACTGGGCTTTGTTATCAATGGCCCCATGTCATCACTGACTCCCGGTCAGTCGATCGAATTCCTCGGATTCGAGATAGACTTAACATCGTGCACTCTACGCCTCCCGACCGCAAAAATTGCCACCATCCGCAGAGAAATTTGGAAGGTACTTCGACTAACATCCATACCTTTACGACTGCTGGCACGGATCGTGGGCCTTCTCTCGTCATCCATTCAGGCCATCTTTCAAGGACCCCAGCATTACAGAGCCATGCAACGCCTCAAGGCAAAGTTCCTTCGCAAAAATCCAACATACGACCAACCGGTCCCTATGTCGGACGAGGTTCAGGAGGAGGCCTGCAGGCAGGCCTGGAACAGCCGGGCAATATTCGGAAACCAACCAGACTTCATACTTGAGTCAGATGCCAGCCGCTCAGGCGGGGGAGCAACAGACGGCACCTCCTCCACGGGAGGAGTGTGGACTCCCCAAGAACGTTCGATGCAAAGGAACGATCCAACTGCTGCATCCTACTCCGGATGGACAATGTCTTGGCGGTAAGATACATCAACCGACTCGGAGGCACCCGCTCCCAAACACTAGTAGAACTCACAAAGGAAATCTTCGATTATTGCCTGCCTCGCAACATCACGCTGTTAGCGGAACACCTACCAGGGGAATCCAACACGACAGCGGATTGGTACTCACGCCACTGGAGGGATGCCAGCGACTGGCAACTAGACCCTCATATTTTCACAATTCTGGATGCACAAAGGGGTCCCTTCTCCCTGGATTTATTCGCATCCCGCAACAACCGTCAGACGAAGGACTTCTTCAGTTGGCTCCCTGATCCGGAGAGTCTAGCAACGGACGCGTTTCTTCAACAATGGCCACAACACGGAGCTTACACATTCCCACCATTCTCAATGATTACGAGGGTTCTTCACCGAACCCGCATGCAGAGGGTGATACTGACCCTCATTACACCTCTATGGCAAAGCCAACCATGATTCCCGGATCTTCTGGAGCTGTCGAACAGGGATCCCCTCCTCCTACCAAACACTCCGACCATTCTCAGGAACCCGACGGGACTACCCCATCCGCTGGTCAAGGAGGACCGGCTCCCCCTGGTGGCCTGAACTCTTTCAGGGGTTCCTGGCGAACCGAGGATTTATCGCAGGAAACTAGGGATCTCCTATGGGAACAAGGAGATGCTACTTAGCAGCATGGCACTGCTGGACAACTTGGTGTCTGGGACGGGATCTCAATCCCTTTACGGCACCTATTCCCTCCATCATGAATTTCCTCACCTCTCTATTCACAGCCGGGAAATCAAACCGGTCCATCAATGTGATACGTTCAGCCATCTCAGCGGCTCATACGCCGACTCAAGGGACACCAGTAGGCCAGAACCCACTCATCTGTAGACTCCTCTGAGGCATGCACCTTCGGCGCCCCCCGGAGCCCAAATACTCGAGACTTTGGGACGTTGGCATAGTCTTACAGTTTTTACGAGACTGGCCTCCTAACGAGAATTTATCACTCCGCCAGCTTACGGCAAAATTCACCTTCCTACTCTGCCTAGTCTCCTTTCGTCGGGTGTCCGATGTACGCGCTTTTGACGCCAACGCATTTACCTTTTGTCCAGCGTGAGTAACCTTCCAGGTCTCTAGGTGCACGAAGTTTGACTCTTCCTCTGTCTTTTACCCCTTTTTTCCCTCAGACCCTCAGCTCTGTGTGGTCTCTACTCTTCGTTGATACATGGAAGCAACCGCGACGTTGCGGCCTACTTCCAATCGTCAACTTCTCATCTCTTACGTTCGCCCCTATGCTCCAGTCTCGGTTACTACGTTGGCCAGATGGGTTAGATGGCTCTTAGCCCTTGCCGGAATAGACCAGGTTTTTGGAGCACACTCAGTTCAAGGGGCCGCGGCCTCTTCCGCCTACGCGGCAGGGGCCTCCCTTCCAGATATCTTCCGAGCGGCGGACTGGACTAGAGAATCCACATTTAGGACATTCTACTTCCATCCTCCATCTAATCCAGATTTTGCTCTACTTTCTCAGTGTTGAAATTGCAAAATACGAAGCCTCCTGTCATGTGATAAAATTGAATATTATGCTAGCTTTAGTGTACAGATAATCTTAATTTTAATAATGACAGGAGGCGAGTATTTTCCCTCCCTGCTCTTACGCTCTTCCCTCCCTGTGTTTTCATGCATATTTCTATCTCTTTGTTCCATGTTATTATTGTACTAATGCCTAAGTTGGGTTTCTTCTCACACTTAATAAAGATATACCATGTGGGTGGGATGATTTACTTAGCATCAATAGATGAGAGGAATGTATTCGCTCTATTTCAATAATGATGGTTTACTTAATCATAAGGGATAGACAGCTCATTGTTTTTACACAACCATAGCTGGAATCTAACACCCTTTATATTCTCGTTTCAGTTTAACCAGATGAATCAGGACACTAAAGACTCCATTCAAGATGTCATCATCGTCTTGTCATGGAAGATCGTCACTTGACATAAAGAAGTCTTCCCTTGGAGTCTACCTGTTTATGTTCAATTTCATGTTATGAGTTATCTCTATTGTTTTTCTGCATTGTGATCTTGTGATGTCGCATGCTTTAAGAGGAAATGATGTCATACGTTACACCTCTTATACTCAATACTGCATTGTGATTGGTTCTCAGTTATGTCACTCTTTTCTTTGCTGCTATGAAGTTAGTAAAGAAAGATTATGCAAAATACTCACCTCCTGTCATTATTAAAATTAAGATTATCTGTACACTAAAGCTAGCATAATCTTCAATTTCTCCAGATCAGTTATGGTGCAACAGACCCTCTGTTAAGTAACCGAGTGAGTTACCCGTTCTTTTATCGCACCGTTCAAGGGGATGAGATTCAATATCTAGGAATTTCAAAATTATTAAAACGTTTTGGATTTAACTGGGTTGGTATCATTACATCAGGTGATGAAAGTGGAAGAAGAGCTCTCCAGTATCTCACAAAAGAGTTAACCAGACATGGAATTTGTGTGGAGTACAATATTCAGTTTGATAAAAAAGATAACTATGCTAAAGCTACTGAAATCATTAAACAAACAACAACGCAGATAATAATTCTATGTGGATCTTGCAATTCTCAACTGAGAACTCTTCTCGCAAAAAGCAAGGATGCACTAATTAATAAGACATTAATCCTTCCTGCATCTTGGGCTTCTCATCTAGAACTTACAGAGATTGCTACCACATCATCAAACTGCAGCTTATTGCTATCACCTCCCAGAGGATACATTCCTGGCCTTCAAGAATTCTATGACAATGTTCACCCATCCAGTCACCCAAATGATACACTACTGGAAGATATTTGGATATGTCTTCTCAGTTGCTTATCAAAAAATCTAAATAAAAACAAATTTTTCCCATTGGTGCTTCATCGACAACTTCATACCTGTACGGGGAAAGAACATATACAACAAAGACAATATAACATGACACTTGACACAACTCCTTATAATGTGTATTCTGCAGTGTATACCATGGCTTGGGCTCTAAATGATATCCATTTGCATGACATTAGAGAGTCAAAGGAAAAGAAAATAAGAACATACAGATCTAAGGTAAATATGTGTTTCAAACATTTCATAAGCAGTCTAATATTAATATTAATAAATGCTTAGTGTTTTACAGGGAGTAATGGTGGACAGTTAGTCCAGCAATCTCAGTCAATCAGGCTGTGCAGATTGGAAAATTGACATTCATAATTTGAAGGTGTTAATTTCCCAGTATAAATTTGTCTATGTAAGCACAAACAAGTGGCGCTAAACAATATATGAAAATAAAAGAAAAACAAATCCCAGTGTGTCTAAAACCAAACCAGTGTTTTAGTCACCCTTAAAACACTTACATTGGTACAAATGGATACAGGAAAAGATGGTTTTGTGCACACAATGGATAACTGATGAGATAGTCTGTAACATAAACATCTATCATAGGGCAATATGCATACAACCAATATCTGGTATAAAAAATAATTAGGAGCACTCACACTTTAGAGAGCCATATAAGTCGGCTCTCTACTGTAGTAGCATGTAGAATACTCAATACTGTAGTTGGAATGGTCCCCCAGGAACAAGAATCAAATTCTGTCTGGATACAATCAGGAACCAAAATAAAATATAAATAAAAATGGAGTCCTTGTCCATTAAAGTCCATGTTAAGTGACCTTCTCATCATGGTTGTCCTTTTCGGATGTTTACGTCCGGTATTCTGTCTTCCGGTATTCCGTCGGAACGTCATTTCCGCTTTCGTCACTTGACGACGTCATTTCCGTTTTCGTCATGTAAACTAAGATTTCCGGCTATACACCTAAAAAAACGTCACTTCTGGTTCGCGTCATTCAGGAGGAGGAGTGACAAACATCCTCCTGAATGGCATAAAAGGCTATATTTACAGAGTCCATGTTAATTTGTCCAAATACACCTCATAATAAAGGGCGAAAAAAGGAGGAAAGGGATGGGACGAAATGTATTAATAAATAATTACACATAACAATTTATGCTTAACTTAATAAAACAGAGATATGAATAAAACAATGTAAGAAACAGTATATATATAAAAAAAGAATTATGTTCTAAAGAAGAATAAAGGGTCCTTCTCAATACAAAGCTAGAAATACACATCTAAAATAAAATCTTTTAGATGGGCTGGACAAGATCTTACAAGTGGTTGGAGGAAGTAATCTATATATTGAGATAGCTGGGTTAAAACTGAGTCTATTCCTGAGACAATTGGTCTTCCAGGTGGGTTATCTAGGCTTTTGTGAATTTTAGGTAGAACATAGATTACCAGTATTTTTGGATGTTCTACTTTAAGAACTTGTAAGATCTTGTCCAGCCTATGTAAAAGATTCTATGAGTCTTTTAAATATTTTAAATGATTTTAAGTGGGAAGAGGAATATTTTTTAGTCACATGTGATGTGACTAGTCTGTATACCATTATCGAGCACCAAAAGGGAGTCCAAGCTGTGGAATTTTATCTTGAACAATTGAAAGAATTTACAGAAATGCAAATTTAATTTTTAATTAAGGGGATCTTAATGATTTTAACTAACAATTATTTCTGGTTTCAAAATGATTTTTATCTACAGATCCGTGGCACAGCTATGGGGACCAAGTTTGCCCCAAGTTATGCGAATTTATTCATTTCCTATTGGGAGAGGACTTTTGTGTACCAAGGACATGGGTATGGGGCAAACTTGGTCCTCTATAAAAGGTATATTGATGATATTTTTATGGTATGGAAAGGAACAGTGAGTGATTTTAACCAATTTTTTAAGCATCTTAATCTAAATGATTGGGGGATTAAATTGACTAAAAGTATCAGCCTTGTCTCTATAGATTTTTTAGATCTTAATATTTTATCTCCAATAACCAGATCAAAACTAAAACGTTTTTTTAAACAAGTTGATATTAATAGTTTTATAGATATAAATAGCTGTCATTATGATCCCTGGTTAAGCAACATAACAAAGGGTCGATATTTACTGTTGAAACGAAATTGCACAGACCAAAAGGATTTTAATGAACAATCAGAAATTAAAAAAACAAAACAATTTGTACAAAAGGGGTATAACGAAGATGCACTTTTACAGAGTTTTAGAATGGTTGATGCTATTGCAAGATCAGATTTACTTAAATATAAAGATAAACAGGAGATAGCAAAAACAAACCAAATTCCCTTTATTTTTAATTATTCTAGTAATACAGGAATCCTTAAGAATACCATTAATAAAAATTGGCATATCCTACAACAAGAGCATGATATTAAAGAATTTCTGGGAGAAAAACCTAAGTTTATCTTTAGGGGTGCCAGGAATCTAAAACAAATTCTTACATCTAATCATGTACGTGGAGAAGAAAAACTGACATTTATAGATGATTGGTCTAGAAAAAAAAAGGCTTTTTCCATTGTGGGTGTTGCAAAGATATGTTTATATCATCTATAACCAATAAACAATATTCCGTATCTTCTTTTATCTCCTGTGAGTCAAAAAATGTTATTTATCTTTTAAACTGTAAATGCGGTTTGCAGTATATAGGAAAAACCTCAAGATCTTTAAAAATCTGCATAAATGAGCATATCAGAAATATAAGAAAAGGTTTTCCAAACCACAGTTTCTCTAAACATTTTTCAGAAGTGCACCAATCTAACCCTATAGAGTTAGAGTTCTTGGCTATCCAAAAAGTTTCAAATAACTGGAGAGGTGGGGATAATGCCCTTAATCTTAGTAAAAAAGAAAGTGCTTGGATTTTTGATTTACAGACATTGCACCCTAAGGGGTTAAATTTAGATTTTGATATTGGCCCAATTTTATAATTAAGTTTTGTTCTAATATTTGTGCCCCTTTTTAGTTCTTCTTAGCATTTTATTTTAGATGTGTATTTCTAGCTTTGTATTGAGAAGGACCCTTTATTCTTCTTTAGAACATAATTCTTTTTTTATATATATATATATATATATATATATATACTGTTTTTTATATTTTTTTATTCATATCTGTTTTATTAAATTAAGTATAATTTGTTATGTATAATTATTTATTGATACATTTTTACCCATCCCTTTCCTTCTTTTTTCGCGCTTTATTATGAGGTGTATTTGGACAAATTAACACAGACTCTGTAAATATAGCCTTTTATGCCGTTCAGGAGGAAGTTGGTCCCTCCTCCTCCTTAATGACGCGAGCCGGAAGTGACATATTTTTAGGTGTATAGCTGTAAATCTTAGTTTACATGACGAAAACGGAAATGATGTCGTCAAGAGATGAAAGCGGAAATGACGTTCCGGGGGTATACTGGAAGAGAGAAAACCGGACGTAAACATCCGTAAAGGACAACCATGATGAGAAGGTCACCTAACTTGGACTTTAATGCACAAGGACTCCATTTTGGGAGGGGAATGAGAACCGGAATTCCCATATATGGGTCTGGGTGGGCGGGGTTTGTATATTACACATATGTGTGTTATATTTTTTAATTGTGTAAGGTATAAAAGCATGCTATATGTTTGTACTAGTATTGCACCTGAGGAAGACCAAAGCCAGTGGTCGAAACGCGTTGTGCTTATCCAGTTTTTACTTTTAATAAAATATTATATTTATATTTTATCTTGGTTCCTGATTGTATCCAGACGGAATTTGATTCTTGTTCCTGGGGGACCATTCCAACTACAGTATTGAGTATTCTACATGCTACTACAGTAGAGAGCCGACTTATATGGCTCTCTAAAGTGTGAGTGCTCCTAATTATTTTTTATACCAGATATTGGTTGTATGCATATTTCCCTATGATAATTGTTTATGTTACAGACTATCTCATCAGTTATCCATTGTGTGCGCAAAACCACCTTTTCCTGTATCCATTTGTATAAATATGTCTATGATGAATGTGGTCTCCAATCACCAAGAAGACCTCATATTTATTTCAAACCATTACTAAACTGTTTGACATTAAACCTGCAAATGATTCTAGGACTTTAGTTAACTTGACCACCAGCACTATCAGTCAGTCAATGTTGTCTAATTGAGAAAATTATTTGATAAAGCGAAAGTGTTTAATATTGTATTATCAATGCAAATGGGGAAAGAGATGAAGAAGGTCCTTCAGCACCCGGACAATCCAAAATGTTTTGACACTCCAAATCCCATCCAATTAAACTGGGAATCTTTGATTCAAAGATAAAGGATACCGCACTCTCACAGTGAAAACCAGGTGCTTCAAAGATCAGGTTGACCAAACCCAATTTAGTAGATTTTAGTAGAAAGTAGGTCCAGGCACTCAAGGTTATTTCAAAAAGGCAGATTTATTGAATATTGAATGTGCAACGTTTCGACCTTCATAGAGTCCTCTGTAAAGGCTGAAATGTTACACATTCAGTCATGGACTAATCAATAGGTTTCTGATTTTTCTCTTATCTCTCTGCAGCTCTGGAAAAAGTTCCATTAGAATAACACATGCAGGACAAGCCTCTCATTTAATTTCTCACAGCAAAGGGAATATATAGATTTTTGGTCTAGGGTTTATAACATTGTTTAGCCAATCACTGTTGGTGCAGTGTCCTTTGTTAACCAAGCAGTTCTAACATTTCACACTATTTTGAACTAGATAAGTGATTCTGATCAGTACAAGTCAGGGTACGGTTTAGTATGTGCTTTGCAAGCAAAGAGAGAGGCCCCTAACGTTAGCATTTTAAAACATTTCAGTGAGACAGCTAAAAAGTCTGTGTTACAGTACCCTCAGCAGTAAATGTAGAAAATCGCCGTTTAGTGAATGCTCCCCGTTCGCAATAGCATAGGCTGCATGCGTATCTAGTACAATCATGCGAACCGCAAGCAAGGGAACACTGCAAACTCATGAACGGGATCCGTATGGGCACTTCACTCCACGAGCTCCAAACTCACAAATCGCCAATAGTAGCTGAATGCATATATCTCCCAAGCGGCTAATAATCCCATCCAGCAGTCTCTAGTCATCGATAATAAATCCCCCCAATAACGAGACCAAGCTCCGCATTCAGGGTAAAACAAGAAATGGCTTTACTGTGGGCTACCTGCCCGTATTTATGCAGGTCTCCCACTTGGTGGACACTCCCCTAGGGGACCAAATGGGAGACTGTAACAACAGACAGACATATGGCAAGTTAGGACCCACAGACACAGAATATTCCCAGCATACATTAGTATTTCCTCCCCTCTGCCCTGGAGATAATTGAGAAGTAATTCAATTATCTCCAGGACAAGGACAAATCGCCATTTTAAATTCAGTATAGAAAAACACATAAAAATATATAACTTGGCTTCTGTCGAATGCTACCCATTCGTATCACATATCCCCAGATAGCCTGGATCTGAGGGCATATTATTGGCGAATAGCGTTCAGGTCCCATATGCACAGTTCAATCGCCATGGAGTCAAAGTCTATTACAGTCCTTCGGTATGCGATTGACTCCATGGGAAGGCTATCTGGGGTAAGTCCATTCGTATGTTTAAACCTCCCGAACGGCCGGGGTTCGTATCCTTCTGTCGACTGAGAAGGGGAGGTCGACGGCTCCAGCGGTGTTCGGCGAAAAGAGTGTCCATTTTCAATTCCATGAAATACATGCCGAACACCGCTGGTCTTTCGAATGGTTTAAAATGGCCGCCGCCTCGTGGTCGACATACGAACGACGACCACCCGGTATTCGGTTCTTAATTGAGAAGTGTCTGCGGTTAACCACACTGTTCTAATTGGGATCAATAGGTTAACCAGCAGCACACTTCTCTTCTGGGTGGCCGTCCGTTCGGTAGTTTCATTCGGCGGAAAAAGTCAATTCACTGAACAGATGCATACGAACGGGTAATTCCACAAAAAGGCAGACACAGGCAAACAGACAAATCCAGCAACCAGTCTCTACACAGATGGATCTGTCACAGTCTGTAATCAATATATATAATGTGATATATTAGACCTAAGCATCAAAACTGGTCCCTTCTGTTTATAACCTCCAAGCTACTTTTCACTGGACAGCCGCTGCTTTCTAACATGTTAGCGAGTAGCGGCTGGCTACCCACTGCAAATTTTAACAGTAACAACATGCAGTTACCAGCAGGTGCTGTGAGGACCAGTTGATGGCTAGTGGCTAATCTCTTCCATTATTTTCTATGGGAACCTCCATCCCCTACTTAGCTACTGCTCTTTGACTTGTTTAACCATATTGCTATTCACTAAAATGAGAATTCAAAGTGAATTTCAAACTTAACATAAAAATAAACAAATTGGAATAAAATCCTGAAGTCAGCTATGCTTCCATTTCAGCAAATTTGACCTTAAATTCTAAATTCACTTTGAATTTTCACTTTAATTATTAGCTCTGCAAGTGCCACTAACCCACAAAATTAACACCAACCTTTGTCTTAGTGTAACAAGGTTTCTGACAGCTACCTCACTATACAACATGCTAAAACTATTTCCACCAGTCTTTCTATGTTTTATCAACCAGCCGTTGCTTGCCTATCATTTGTTGAACTATACTTACTCAGGTGTGTTTCTGTGCTTCATCAGCCAGTTGAGAATATGCTTGGTATTTGTAGCAGCCAACTTTATTAATTGAATATGTTTGTAAGCTTGGTAGTAATTTGAAGCCGCTACAAACTTCCAACTGTTACAGTGAAAGCTTACGGCAGCTATTTACTGACAAGACTCTAGACAAGATTTGGAGATCTATTCAAGGTCTCTTATTTTACTCTATATATTGTTTGTCAGCTACAACTTACAATCGAATACCGTTGTATTCATAATGCCATTGAAATTGTTATGAGTAACTTGTTATTTTACAATCAACTCTTTTTTATCCTTGAAAGGTGAATAGCTATTTGAAGAAAGTGCGTTACACTGACCTCGCTGGCAATGATATATTTTTTAATGAAAAAGGAGAGTTACCAACTTCTTATAAGATTCTGAACTGGGTAACTAAATTTCATGGTGATAAGCTGGAGTTCACTAATGACCAAGTGGGTCTGTTTAATGAGTCACATGCAGATGACCAGCAAATAATTATTGAAGAATGGAAAATATTATGGAAAAATGACAAGGTAAGCTCAGGAATAATCTTTTAATGGTTATTTACTAAGCTCAGAATGTGGGTACAACTTCTAGTGTGACTTTAATAAATAAAATAAAAAATTCCAATCAAATTACATTTTTCTAGAATTAAAATGGTACATTTAAATGCAAGCAATTAAACTTTAGAGAACAATAGGGTTACTTTGACAATAAGAATTCTATCCCAAGAGCTTATATGTGGGACCTAAACCATAACAATGCATTTCTACTTTTACAAATAGTTTTTTGCATTCGTTTTATTACAGAATTATATTATATATAGTATTATATATACATATATTATCATACTTATGTAAAAGGGAAAATGTTTTGCAATATGGTTTGTTCTGAGTTTGGAGGTATCAGAATTTCCAAATTGCTGTAAAACAAAATCACACGGATTCATAATTACTCAATTATGTTCACCCAGTCTCCACTCCTTAAAAAAATAGTTAAAAACCCACTTCTTCATAAAAGCGTATCAATTAAACTGTTAATTGATTCCTCTTCTGCAACTGTCACTAGTCTAATACTATCCTTACCTTTTTGTGTCATTTTACCCCACACCCTCTAGCATGTAAGCTCATTGAGCAGGGCCCTCAACCCCTCTGTTGCTGTGTGTCCAACTTGTCTGGTTACAACTACATGTCTGTTCGTCCACCCATTGTAAAGCGCTGCGGAATTTGATGGCGCTAAATAAATACCAAAATAATAATAATAATTAGTTTTAAATCCACTCATTTTGGTAATGATAGCAAATTATCGAGTTATCTGCTAGCCAACTGAGAGAGCAAATGTAAGAAACACATTTTTCCCCCATGCGGATGTGAACATGAATACCTAAATGATACCTTCTGTCAGGACCACTCGTAGGAAAGCAGTGCTCTGTCACAATGTGGATGTATCTATTCTTTAATTTTAGCTAATCTGGTCCTAAATTTTTAATTCACTTTGAATTATCACTTTAGTATACAACCCAGTTAGTGTCAGTCTGTGGCTGACTGTTTTATTTACAAAAGTCATAATTGCCAGGAATTCAAAGGGAATTTAAGGCCAGAATTTCTGACTTTTAGCTCCTTTTAGCGCAGCAGGTGTTTGATTATTCATTTTTCTTTTCTCACTTTTGAGCATGCACTTTTGAGCACATAATGGTGTATTATTAGTTATTTAACAGCTCAGGCAGTCTCCCCATGGCGAATTAGTGATCACAATAGGTGTTCTAGTGTCTGCCTGCAGGGGAACTGCCTGTGCTGACAAGCAGTCTCCTTGGAAGTGTAAAATAAAAAAATTTAAAAAAATGGAAATGTTAATAAAAAAAATATATAATTATATATGTGTGTATAAATATGATATATAGACATATATTATATAGACATATATTATATAAATATATCATATATATATATGTCATAATAAGTGTATTTTTATATTAATAAAAAATATACTTATAATTAAATTACATATATATATTATATCTATATATATATTGTGTATATATATATTATAAAATACAAATAAGAAAATTAAATTATTTTTTTTTTAAATAATAAAAATTTAAAAAAATTACAAATCTATTTGAAATTTTATTCTAACTGTATTTTGATATTAATCTATATATTTATATCAAAATACACTTAGAATGAAATTGTATATATATCTATGTATATATAAATAAATAAAAATAATACGAAATATACATATGTCCATATACAAAATTATAAATAATTCTATAAATATACACGCAGACTTCAAATATATAAATATGCATATATATTTAAATTCTACGTGTGTATTTATGTAATATTTTTACATAATTAAGTAATTTTATTGATTGCAATTTGAGGGACCTGCCTGACAACCCAGGCCAAAAGTCCAGAGAATTTAATTTGCTAGCACTGTATTTTACCCTGTAACTTTCTATGATACCCTAAAACCTGTACATGGGGGGTACTGTTTTACTCGGGAGACTTTGATGAATACAAATATTAGTGATTCAAAACAGTAAAACATATCCCAGCGATGATCTTGTCAGTGACTTTTTTTTGTATTTTTCACACACAAACAGCACTTTTACTGATGATATAATTGTTGTGACACCTTTTACTGTTTTAAAAAACACTAATATTTGTGTTCAGCAAAGTATTTTGTTCAGTGTTTTTGAAAGTTACAGGGTCAAATATAAGGGTCAAATATTTTTACATAGAAAATTGCCAGGTTGGTTATGTTGCCTTTTGAGACCGTATGGTAGCCCAGGAATGAGAATTACCCCCATAATGGCATACCATTTGCAAAAGAAGACAACCAAAAGTATTGCAAATTAAGTATGTCCAGTCTTTTTTAGTAGCCACTTAGTCACAAACATTGGCCAAAATTAGCATTCAATTTAGTTTTTTACTTTTTTCACACACAAACAAATGTGAACGCTAACATTGGCCAGTGTTTGTGACTAAAATACTGGACAAATACCCCATATCGAATACCCTGGGTTGTCTACTTTAAAAAAATATGTACATGTGGCATGTGATTCAGAGATTTATGACAGATAATAGTGTTACCATGTCACTATTGATACATCTTAAAAATATATATTTTGAAACCGCAATTTCCTATTTGTAGTTATAGCCCTACAACTTGCAAAAAAGCACGTAAACACTGGGTGTTTTTAAACTCAGGACAAAATTTTGAATCTATTTAGCAGTTTTTTTCATTAGCTTTCGTAGGTAAGTAAAAGATTTTTCAAGCAAAAGCCAACAAACATGTTTGTGGGTTTTTTTTTATTTTTCAAATTTATTTATTTTTTTAAAGTAAATTATATGATATGATACAAATAATGGTATGTAAAGAAATCCCTTTTTGTCCTGAAAAAAACAATATATAATTTGTATGGGAACAGTAAATAATAGAGCGGAAAATTACAGCTAAATGCAAACACCACAAAAGTTTAAAAACAGGCCGGTCCTGAAGGGGTTAAATACTATTCCCTCCTAACAGGACAAATGATTCTTAGTTATAGATGGTATTGGTAGGTCCCAGGAAACATGCATGGAGACTGAGAAATTTATTTTAAATCTATTTGAAAATGAATCCTATGGTTAAGTAGGTCTCATGCAGTTTACCTGGAGACTGAGGTATCTGTATACCCAATTAGGATTTAAACTCTATGATTAACTAGATCCCAGGGATTCTACCTGGAGACTGAGGTATCGGTGTTTCTTTGTATAAAGATTAGGATCCAGTGGCTTGGTTAGTCCCCGGGTTTATACTTTGAGACTGGCCTATCTTTTAGGACCCCCTTTTATTTTCCCTTTACCTAGGATTCCTGATATCCCTTCATGTAACTACAGGTGTAATGTATGTTCTATTTGTAATTGACTACAATTTGGGGTGATTATTTATTTTCAGCTTGTCACAATCGTGAAGCATTTCTTCTGTTTCTCTGGTGAACAAAGTGTTAATTTAATTTGTCCTACCTAAACCTTCCTATTATAGGAACATTTAAAGCTAATTAACTTTGGTACAATATAGAGAAGAGACATTTCAGTCATCCTGACTGAGTAAGCTATTTCCTAGCCTGGTAGTTATCATCTTATAATATCATACTATCAACACTAATTGAAGATTAGGCTAGCTTTAGTGTACTAATAATCTTAATTTTAATAATGACAGGAGGCTTCATATTTTGCATAATCTTCTTTACTACTGCATAACAGCAAAGACCTATAGAGAAAAAAAAGGAACCAATCAGAGACAGGTAGAGAGCATAAGATATGCCTTCCACTGAGTCACTTCCTCTTGATAACGGTGACATCACAAGTCACAAGATCAACTGAAGAACCATATGGAATAACGAAGACAGTTAAAATTCCAAGAATGATGAAGAATGGCTGGATTCATTCAAAACTGGGAACAACGAATATCCTTGTACGCTTGATGTAGAAGATCTCTTTGTGTCTTTTAAGCTGAAAGCGACTGTGAGTGTTTTAGTGATATGAAATGTAAACCTGAACAATATGAGTAACCATCACATAAATGGTGTGATTGTGTACTATTACAATCTATCGTGATCTTTAAAATTTTACCTATGTACCATAATATAGCTATCTAATATAGACTATCTACACATAAATCAACTATATATGAACAACAACCCCAACTTTCCATCTAGAGCCAATAGAGTCAATTATGTAGTTACAAGAAAACAACCAGTACTATATTTATAACATACATCACCTACCTGGTGATGCAAACCCACCTGAATGGGAGGGAAATTTAATGACGAAGAAAATACTCGCCTCCTGTCATTATTAAAATTAAGATTATTAGTACACTAAAGCTAGCATAATCTTCAATTTTATCACATGACAGGAGGCTTCATGTATTGCATTTTTAACGCTAAGGTAATAGAGAGAAAACGGTGATGGAGGATGGGCGAGAGTTAAACGTCCTAAAGGTGGGTTCTCGTCACCAGTCTGCAGAGAGCGATATATCTGATAAGAGGGCCCCCGCTGTGAAGGCGGAAGAGGCCGTCACACCCCGAACTAAGTGCATGCCGAACAGGAAGAGTCAATCCCGGCGAAAAATAATTGCCATCGTACCTAGCAGGCCACGGTGGGAACCAAGACTGGTCCATGTGGCTTAACGTCGGACACTAATAATTGTCGGTATGAGGTAATCATAGTGTGGCCACAGCCATACATAGGCATGCAGTGTCTGGACCACGCAAAGTTGGGTTCCAAGTATATCTCATCATTGTCGATAAGTCCCAAACAACCCTGAAAGACTCCAGGCTACTAAAGAGAGATGTATTATGGGAGCATGTGATTAGGATTCCCCATTGAATCCATGAGTATCATCAGATCGTCTGTTAATCTCGAAGGGTCCTGGTTTGACAGTGCTAGGAGATCTGGGAACCAAGGATCATCAGGGGATGGCCACTTCCAGAATTCTGATGTGGTGAACCACTCTTGTGATCATTGCAAAGGGTAGAAAT